ACCAAATACTCTTAAATGAGAGTAATTAGCAGGGGCACTAGATCATATCTCTTCTGGAGTCTTAAAATTAATTGTTGTAGAAGGAGATCTGTTTATCAAATAGCAAGCTATATTGACTGCCTAAGCCCAAAAATCTTTTAACAAACCTGCATTAGAGAGCATGCACTGAGTTCTCTCTAAAAGTGTTATGTTCATCCTTTCTGCAACTCCTTTTTTGCTGTGGTGTATGCCGAACTGTACGATGGCGTACAATACCTTTAGTCTTGCAGAACTAGTCAAACTCTATAGAATAAAACTTTATCCCATTGTCAGTTCTGAGGCGCTTCACTTTCTTTCCTATTTACTTCTCAATCATAACTTTCCATTACTTGAAGGTTGCAAAAACATCACTCTTATGCTTCAAAGGATACACCCAAACTTTTTTGGAATAATCATCAATAAATGTTAGCAGAAAATGAGCTCTGTCTTTCGATGGAACCTGAGGGGGGACCCCAAACATCTGAATGGATATAATCTAAAGTACCATTGGTTCTGTAGACACCGGTACTAAAAGATACTCTATGATGTTTACCGAAAAAACAATGCTCACAAAAGTCTAGTTTACTAATTTTCTGACCACAAAATAAACCTTGTTTGCTCAATACATCCAGTCCTCTCTCACTCATATGCCCTAACCGTACATGCCACAAACGTGTAGTGTCTGAATCTGAATCCTCTGAGGATGACACTGCTGCAACACTTGTCACTGTACTGCCTTCAAGGATATAGAGGATATTTACCTTCTTTCCTTTCATCACAACAAGAGAGCATTTACTAACTCTCAAAACTCCACCTTCATCCAAAAACTTAAAAAACCATTTGAGTCAAGGGTGCCTAAAGAAACGAGGTTATTTTTTAACTCTGGAATATGACGGACATTGCTTAATATTCTAACAATATCATCATGGGTTCTAATATTAATTGATCTGATACTAACAGTCTTGCAAGGCATGTTATTTACTAACAAGACATTCCCACCATCGATAGACTGATATGTGACAAACCAATCCCTATGCGAACACATATGATAGGAACAACCCGAATCAAGAACTCACTCATCTTGTGAATGAGTATTAACACTAACTGAAAGAACTTCATGTGAACTAGAAGACTCTTCAGTTACAGTGGCAACTGAAAGTTTCATCTCCCCAGACTTCGATCATGAATTATTCTTTGCTTTGAACGCTGGAGAATTAGGTTTTATATGCCCACATTTGTGACAGTAATAACATTCAACATATTTTCTTGGCCTGGAATTTGATCTGGAATTTGATCTAGACATATTTCTAGACTTGCCTCTACCACCAACACCCTTTTCAGGACGATCACGAGCGAACAAGCCTTCAGCTTGATCGTCTCCTCCTACGACAGACACTTTCTGCCTTAACTCTTTTGAATGTAAGGCTGATTTGACATCCTTTAAAGAAAGTGTATCTCTACCGTATAACATGCTATTGATAAAATTTTCATAGGAATGAGGTAATAAACATAACAAGATGAGTGTTTGATCATAGGAATGAGGTAATGAACATAACAAGATGAGTGTTTGATCTTCTTTGTCGATTTTAATATTAATATTTTTTAAATCCATAAGAATAGTGTTAAGTTCATCTAAGTGGTCTTTAATTCACATACCTTCCTTCATGCGAAGAGTGAAGAGGCGTTGCTTCAAGTATAGCTTGTTCGTTATATATTTTATTATGTACAAGCTCTCCAACTTGAGCCACAAGCCGGCGGCGATATCTTCATTTGCAACCTCCCGCCGGACCTCATCGGCCAAACAGAGTTGTAAGGCACTATGCGCCTTCATCTCCAGCTCTTCTTTCTTATCATCGAGCATAGATTCCGACAACTTATCCTTTCCGGATAAGACTTTGAACAGTCCTTGTTGTATTAGGAGAGCCCTCATTTTTACTCTCCACAAACTGAAGTTGTTTCTCCCATCGAAATTTTCTACTTTGTATTTTATAGAAGACATCTTGAAGCCCACTAGAATAGTAACTATAATTTTGAACAATAATCGTACTTGTGAACAATACCTGTAAGTGTGAATAGTAACTGTACGTATAAATAGTAGCAATACTTTTGAATAGTACCATATACGTGAATAGTATCAGTGCCTTTAAAGAGTAAATGATAATCTAACTTATTTTCTGATGTGGATGATCCACTTTAGTGGCAGCCACAGAGCATACGGTAAGCAGATACACGTACTCTAAGCAGTTTCTGATACCAGTTTGTTATAGCAGGGGGCTTCACAGATACAAGATGTCTATACAAGAGTGGAGAATAACAACACTGACTAAACATAATGAACACAAAGAGAACAACACATAAGGATTTAACGTGGTTCGTGTTAGACCCTAGAGGGGGGGGGGGGGATTAGGGTCTTATGCTAATCTAATCCGATTAAATGCCAATTAAAATTAATTAACAAGTTATCCTAGTAAGTATGAAATACCACAAGATATATGAGCTAGGATAAGCAATATAAACAAAGAGATATATCCTATATGATGAAATATATATGCAAGGATATATAAACTAACACAAGGGTAAACAATATGAAACAAGATAGAGGATGATATGAATAATGAGACAATGGCGATATGAGCAATGATCACAAATATAAATAAACGCCAAAGCACACTCAAACACAATCAAATGATCAACTCCCGGGGGGAAATCCACTATCACAACTGGGTTTTCTACGCTCACCCGAATAACGTTTACACCTCACAGTGTCGGTTTTCAATGCTCACCGAACAACGTTCACTCCTCACACTCGGTTTTCTAGTTCACCGAAAACTTCACAACACACTCGGTTTTCTAGCTCACCGAAAACCTTACACCACTCACAATGTAACAAATATAAATTTGTTCTCTACAATAGATGAGAACTCAATTAAGCACAACTCAATGTTACAATCTCTCACAACCCTAATATACTATGAATGTAAATACAATAAGCTCATGTGGGTGTGTGTAACAATGAGATTCAATAAAAACTTAATAAGAACTAGCAATAAGGTTGATATGAAATACTATAGTAGAAATGCTAGGAAATAGAGTTAAGGAAACTTCTCTATAAACACAAAGAGAGGATGATGAAATGTTAAAGATGAACTCTTCAATAGTTGATGTAAACTCTTCTTTGTAACAACAAACCCAAAACAAACTTAAACCAAAACTAAACAAGCTTAAACCCTTGTTTAAAATCTTGTTTAAAAACTTCTTAGATATGTTGAAAGAGAACAGCAATGGGGTATTTATACCCACTCAAAATCTCAGGCAAAAACCCCAAACAAAATAACAAAAACAGCCCCATCAACGGTAACAAAAATAGCCGTTGGAAAGAGAACTGACAGAGCGGCGGTCGACCGAAAATATTCGCGGTCGACCGCGAACCAGATCTGAAACTGAGAATACACCGATGGAAATTTCGAGCTCTCGATAGACCGCACCGGTCGACCGACAAACTCTCTGCTACCCACTGTCGACTGAACATATGAGCAGTCGACCGGTGCGGTCGACCAAAATCTGATACTACAGAAAAAACAGGTTTTAAAGCTGATTTTTGAGACTTTGGAAAATTGTTAAAATAACAAATGAAGTCCAAAAATAATAAAACTTTGGGAAATGTATATAAATATGTAAATGAACATGTTACAAAAAGAATTTTCCAAATTGCATTTCCCATTTGTGAAAAATCATTATTAAATATGAAACATGTGATTTCATATTTATAAACATAAAAACTCAAAAACACATGTATGTATATATATAACTATATATATGCATAGAAACCAAAACTTATATATATATATATATATATAACTATATATATATACAAAGAAACTAATAAATGTGTGTGTATATGATATTGAGCTTAGAGTATCTAACACACATAATATAAAATCTAAACTAGATTACCCAAGCTAGATCTTGATCTTCATTGTAGCTCAACTTGGTACACATGTGCGGATGAAGCTGAACTTGGATCTTGAACTTGAATTGCATAAGCTCCACCGACATTCCACCAACCTCCTTTGAATATGATCGTTGAAGCTCTATTCCATTCATCCTCCAACTACGTTGTTTGTCTATAATAAATAAGAAAACACAAAACTAGACAAACAACATTAGTGGTAAATTGTTTGTTAAACATCATCAAAACAAGAAGGCCAACAGTTCGGTCAGTATAACCTACGTCCATTGGCGAGAACAACAGAGAACTTCACTAATCATAAAAGAGAAGATTACAAAGAGGAGATCACTCTCTAATCAGAGAATCACACAAAGAAAGATTTCTCTTTCTATCTCACTCTCTTCTCTCTATCTCTCACTTCTTGTTTTTCTCTCTAATTCTTCTCTGAGTCTGCATGCTCTAAACTCTCATCATTGCCCCCCTTTTATAGCTTCTTAATATTAATAAAGAAATTAAAAGGGGTAGGTGAAGAGTTGCAAAGCTTGACAAATTGTCACAAAAATTAGGCAGCTGTATTCAACATCATTCAAGTCACTTTCACAGATACTTTGAAATGTTTTTTTAAAACCTCTGACGTCTCAAATCTTTGATCGCTTCTACCTTGTTGCCCTCCATTAGTTTCTCATTAACTGTTATATTAACTAACACATAATTTCTATATTTGATTTACAGCTCTCTGTTTGGTGTGAAAGTTGACATCTTCATTGAGGTATTCATTACAACTTTAGTCGTTATAATAAAAACAAAAAGATAGTCTTTTTATAAGAGTGTTATACAATAAAAACAAAAAATTATAACTCTCATCAAAACAAACACAACGAATGTTTATCACTCGTTGTTTACGTAGGATCTTTGCCTGTGTCAAGATTTATCCGTGGACCACCGAACGATCAGATCAAAGTGCAGATTTTGTTGACTCGCGAAGGAGTCAAGAAACTAAAGCAATTATCTGGGTAAGAGCGAGATAACCACTCTTCTCGATATTACAGGAACAGTGCGATCTCAAGGGAAGAAATGTGTTGTGGATCTGTCGAACTCTCCTTCTTTGCGTCGAAGAATTCACTAAGATCTCCTCCTCCTCTCTGAAATTCGTGGCTCTTCAGTTTTCAATTCAGTAGGGCTTCTCCAAGGCTCGAGAATTCCAGATCTCTACAAATGAAGGCCCTAGGATTGTATTTATAGGCTTCGGGAGCTCTGTTTTCGGATAAGAACGACCGATTCCCTCTTATATTCAGTTATAACCGCTTTACCACGTTCTAGGATAGCTTCAGATCAGTTGGAGCAAAATCCAGTCGGTTAACGGGCAAAACAGCTTTGAAATAGCGTTTTTAGGCCAGGGGATAGTCCAACTATCTCAGCCTTGGCTGAGACACTTGCACTATCTCGGCCTTGGCCGAGACACTTGATGTGTCTTCGCTAAAGCTCGGGGCACTGTTTAGGCATGTCTCGGTCATTTTCGCTGTATTTTCCCCGTTTGATCTTAAAATTACGTGATTCAAAGTGCGTAGGAAATCTGACGAAGAGTTCTACAATCTCCCATGGGTGAATCATACATGGAGTGAACGAGACACGATTGACGTTTCGTCTTTTGTGAGCAAAATGTAACTCTCGTTCGGATTGTATCTTCATTATTTTGCTATTCCGTTGTTTCATACGGTTTGTCGACTCACTTCATGCGCTTGTCGATGTCAGATAATACTCTTTGACTCGGATAATGATGTTCATCGTCTCCTCTTCATCTCAAGCTACGTGCGAGAACCTATAGGTATTTTTAGACGCCTACACTCTCTCTCACCTAAATAATTTAGAAGCTATTTCTCTCTCGAATCCCACCCCACCCTTTACTAAGAAAATCCATCTCAAAAGTATTAAAGAATGTTCAAGATATAAAAGAGAAGAGGAAATAATTTTCTTTGGAAAATTTCCTTTCTCATGATTCGAAAAATGATGAACAAAATCGGGTTTGATTGGTTCAAGTTTAAAAGAAAAAAAAATAAGAATGAAGAAATGAGGTAGGGAGAATTATTTTTTATTAGGTGGGCATACTTAATCTAAATGTATCATGTGCTAAACACGGGATAAATTTTAACAAAAAAAAAGTAACGACACTTGAGTTTTAAAAATTATTTTTCCATCTCATAATCTTAGTCTAGATTCGAGATGTATGTCATTGAATATATAATCTTTATATATTCGTAACTAGATTGCAATTTCCAATACTTTTGTATTGGTATAAAACATAAGGTATAAAGTTGTTGATGACTCATTCCTCCTTTTTATTTATAAAAAAATTGGTGGAACTCCTAAATGCACAAAATATTAATATGTGTTATATTATAATTACCCGCGTGTCCCTCTATCCTACGAGAAGATGATATGTGAGCATCTAATCTAATATTCACCTAAGAATACTCATCAAATTAAAACTTATCCATAATTAGAAATTTCTAATAATCAAATATCTTATAATCCTTATCCGATTATAACTATTCATAATTTAATAAAAAAATCTCATGATCATATACTAAATATAGAAATTAAATTAAAAAACTCATATAAAAGGTCTCTGTATATAAAATCATGAGTTAATTTTAGAAAACTTCCTCAATTATTAGGGTGTCTCAAAAAACCCATTAACTATTTAATTTTAAAACTCCCTTGAAGTTTGGGCATATTGTAGATAACCTTCCTCAACTATGAATAATTGAGATAAGCCCTTAAACTTTTCCCACTTTACACCTCTCAACTAGGATGTGCCTTAGAAAATACCCCTCAACTATTTTAATTTGAGAAACTCCCTCAAGTTTGAGCTTGTTTTATGTAACTCCCTCAAGTTTGAAAATTTAAGAAACCCCTATAAACTCTCCTCACTTTATATCTAGAAAACTAAAGCTACTAGGTCTAGCATGTCATATGACAAG